CTCTCTCTCTCTCTCTCTCTCTCTCTCTCTCTCTCTCTCTCTCTCTCTCTCTCTCTCTCTCTCTCTCTCTCTCTCTCTCTCTCTCTCTCCTCCTCTCTCTCTCTCTCCCTCTTTCTCTCTCACTCGTCTTGTCGACCCATATCATCGTTGTGCGCCCTTTCTCGCTTCGTTCTTATTCTATTGCTTACTCGTAATCATCTAGTTGTCAAATTTGTATCATAAATACGATGAGACTTGATAAACTCGTAACTAGTGCATTGGTTGCGAGGCGATGCATTAGCAATGCACTGTAATTTTCAATGAAACATACAAGTCTCGCGCCCGTATCTATTCTATTTCCTCCAGTTTATTAGATAAGCGTATGAGATATATTATCCCTACCGTGACACGTTAACAGAGATCGACGTAAAGAATTAAAGTCGAGAGACAAAAAGAAGTGTTGAAATTATACAAACAATTAAGAATTAAAATCTCGATACTTTCAGTTTTAAACAGTTGTGATTATAAATAACAAATCTTTTCATTTCAGTTAATTTCAAGCTTTATTTTAAGATTTTTAAAAATTTTACGTTTATATTTATTTATTTATTTTAAAAAAATTGAAAATTTGTATAAGATAATAGCTTTCTTCAAAAAACTTCAACTCGAAATTAATAGAAAAATTTGCGATTGAAAGATAATGTAGCATATATTACGAACATATACATAGGGAAATAGTAGCGCAGAACATATCGGGATCAGGCGCATTCAGTGTGGCAAGTTGCACGCGAAGAATCTTTTGCAGCAGATTCTCTAAATGGTATTCCGTTCAATACATATTGAAATCGAAATAGGGAAAGAGCATAGAGAGAGGGAGAATGAGAGATATACGTACAAAGAGCGGCGCAGACAAAGAGAAACTATTTCTATTAATAGTCATGGGTCCAAACGTTGATTACCTATCATGTAGTGTAGCGTATCTCTCTATTTGCGGTTTACTGGCTTTTAACCCTTTCGAACTTGTATTTTGTGTTGAATTGAGATGACTTTTTGAAGAAATATAACTTTTCGCTTTATATATAAATATTTAAATAAAGAAATACAAAAAAAAAATTAAAATATCTTTATATTATTTATATATAAAATGCGTTTACCGCATATTATCTTACATTTAATTTGACAAAAGAAAGATATCATTAAACAATAAATTTTATATTATTGTAGCATCCAAGTAACTCATAAATATTTACATATTTGCGAAACAATTCGCAACAAATATTTACAGTATTCTTGATGTTATTATAAATAAAAACAACAGTGAATACAAGACACACAAAAAATCTGCTACGGACAGTTTCTACGCTTGAATTCAAACGAATAATAAATATGTAAAATTATAATTAAATAGTTTATCAAAGTGCATATAGCGTTATATGTTAAAAAAAACAATTTTAAGATCAAAAAGGGTATTTATGGACTTACATTCAGTTTCACATTTCAAAATTGCGGAAAAAAAAAACATACTAGCTGTGTATTCGCTTTAAACTCATAACACATATCATATCGAAAAAAGCGCTGTCCATGTTATCAGGATCATTTTACATATTGACACGAGACGGTATGTGTATAAAGTTTATTGCGTTTCACGGCAACTGGAGGTATCGCAAAATTACGTACGACACACGGGGGTTTTGCGAGTGCGAACAGACGAAGCCTCCATCCATCGTCGTATCCCTCGTAAAATCCTCACGATGCGCTCGTGTCCTGCATGCGGGATCCGGCAAGCGTATTAAGACGCGCGGTCGCAGGGTGCTCAGCCGGCCGTGGAGCCGCAAAACAATTAGATTTTCTTCGTAATGGCGTGCTGGCCAGAAACTATTAAGCTAATTCCACGGCGTAGCATAGCGCCGTGGTACTGCACCGTGTGCGGACGAAGGGCGGACGGGCTGCGGGTGTTAGTGGGAAGGAGATATCACGGGCACGGAGCGTAAACTATGGGCGGATATGTGGCGACAGCGGGACGGGAGGAAAGCTTACGGCCGGGCAACAAAGTTAGAATCTGATATGACCCGATCTAATTTCACGATAGGATGCAAGTTCCGGCAATCATTATCGTGTTATATCGCGAATGGTCGACGGCGCGTAGTTCACCCTTCATTTCGTATGGTAACCAATTTGCAACTTATCTAAATTTGTCGTCAACATGTATCTCGTTTCGACAGATTGCTCCGTTTTGATTTATTTTCCGTGATTTACGTGATGTGGACTTCCGTCCTCAGGATCTTCTCTCTCTCTCTCTCTCTCTCTCGCACATTAGAGTTAAAAAAATATTAACAGATTTTTCAATTTGATTGCTAATTGCCATAAAATTCTTAACAGCATGTTATAATAAAATGTACGTGACCTGTCCAGTTAATTTCTTTTAAATTGCAAAATATGATTAATTAAGAAATACGGTTTCTTGTTAAAATAATATTAGAAAAGGTATACATAGCATAAACGGTCGCGGAAATCGGGAAACTCTTCTATCGACTAACTTAATTCGATCGACCTTTTTAATAGTCAGATCGCATGTTTGCATTTTTGTGAATCGTATTTGAAGAATATAATGGAAATTTAGTAACAGAGAAATTACGTAACGGTAGTTGCAATATTTAGAATCGTTGAGGAAATTTATAAACTCTCCTTCTCACGCTCTTTCTCTCTCATTCACTCAGTAGACTGCAATGTATCGAAGTACTAAGAAAACCTTCTAAATGTGTTCAAATACTTTTCTACCTCGCGTTTTTGCTCGTCTCGGTGCGTTTTATTTTGCGCTTCTCAGTTCGCCGTCGTTTGCGGTAACTTTTGCCGTCTCACCTTGCCTCACCTGGAAAACCCGTCGGAATTGAATTACAGGTAACGACGATCTGAGAACTAATGGACTTTCCGGAGCGGGATAAGCCACCGAGAGGTGAAGCGCCGCGCGAGAGGAGCGGAGGGGAAAAAAAGGGACTGGCAAGCACGGAGGCGCGAAATGTTATCGGGCATCAACGAGCGTTCGATCGATTCGTCGTCTCGCGGCGTTGGTTCCCTTCAGCGTCGTCGAACTTCCGTTCCTCCCCGCTGCCGCGGAGTGCGAGGGCGAAAATTGAGTTACGATGTCACCGCTACCCTCCCGAAAGTCGCTCGATATGGAAACGAGGTGAGACTCGACGCCGACCGCGAAACCGGCGTCGCATCCCTCCGCTTGCAGAAACTCCATCCTCGAGCTTCGACCGCCGCGGTTCTTCTTCGCTTTAAGAGATAAAGCTCTTTTTCAGGATTTCCGCGCTCTTTGCACAAGACCGACGTCACGTATCGTTTGCTAACCGGCGGTCAGAGGTTGATCCCTTGACGTGAGTCCTGAGAGCGGATAGTGTGTACAAAATCTCAACGTTTATACTTTCGCCGGCACGTTCTCCGCTAAAACTGCGGCATTTTTCGCGGATATTCAACAGATGGGAACAGCTCGTTTTTGGCGCCGGGCGAAGCCCGAGGGGATTTCTGCGGTCGGATTACGATATCTAGCTGAATAAATGGCTAAATGATATCGCCAGTAGCGTATATCCCGCCATTTCTTAAGTCCCTTTCGTGCCGGAACGTTTCTTTCTCCGAGGATAAACGGCCGTTGTTGAAAAAGAATTTATTCTTACATTGAAATCAGTTGTAATGTAAATTAATCGTTAGAAATTCAAAGAAGCAATATGATTCCGCGCTTTGAAGATAAAAGAAGAAATATCCATTTCTTTGATCAAATACTATAATAGAATAAAATCGTCCTATTAATGATGCCCGATTTTGCATTGAAGGCGAGAGGCGGAAGAAGAGCGGTGTAAAAAAAGAAGAGCTGACGGAAAGCGGAGGAAAATCGAAGGGACTTTCTCTTGTTTCTTCAGGCCAAGGCTGCTTCCGTTTCAACCCTCTCAATTAATTCGGATCTTAGTTGGTGAGCGACGTGAAGGATAGTGGTCGTTGGAAAATGAGGAACTCAATTATTTCGCCGGGGGTTTGCATTGTATCCGGTACACGACGCGACCCCCGCCGTCGACTTTTCGATCTCATCGTCGAGCCAGCGCAGTAGACGCCCTTCGTTAGTTCAACGTTAATAGCATTGTGCAAAAACCATTACCGCGTAGTTTCGCGGCCGATTCTAAGCGAAAGCATTGAATGAAAGCATAATGCACGGTGCTGTATCCAGCGGTGATTGAATGAACGACAAAGGCAGGCCAAGGGTGTAGGTATATAGCGACGGAGACGGAGGGGAAATAGTGGACGCGGTCGTATGGCATCGCGCAGTTTTCCCGCACCATTGCCTCTGATTTGACAATTTTGATCCTACGTCGTTTAAGCGGACAAATATATCCACGAAAATTGAAAATCCTGGAAGCTTGGAGAAGGCCGCCGGCTGCATGCGGAGAGAGAGAGAGAGAGAGAGAGAGAGAGAGAGAGAGAGAGAAGAAGAGAGGTGGATCTACAGCAAGATTCTGAGAGAGCGCGAGAAGGAGACACGCGTTGACGGACGCAAAAAAGAAGAGGAAAAACGCGGGACGAACTGAAGGAGGATATTACAAACTCAAGAAGCGAACCGGCAGTATATATGTACGTACCAGCACGACCTCACGTAGCCCGGCAATCGTTGTAGCGTGCTGAATCAGCTATTTCTACGTGGACACGCCTGATTGGATGCGGTAAAATGACATCGAAACGCTTGAACGCCATCCACTTGACAATAATCAAGAACTATAATAATCTTAACTCTCGATTAAAAGCTTTTGTCTCTCCTTTTCGTTTCATCTTGGCGATAATGCACGTTTGTGATAACGTTCGCTGTTTTTACGACGAAAAAATAGAATCGGGTTAAAACTGAGTTATTCAAATGTAAGTACGAAAAAAGCTTGTTCTTTAATATTTAAAGAATTTTAATATTCAGTAAATATGTAACCAAAAGTAACTGCGTGACTTTAGGTATATAATTCATGGACAACATTTATAAAAAAAAAATTTACACTTTGATGGAAAATGCAGAAGTTAGTAGAGAAAATTTGCATTGCAGATATTAATTTCATGTCCAATTTAGATGTTTAAATTAGCTATAATATGTTTAGCAAAAATCGGATAGTACGATTAAAATGTTTTTGTGTAATTGATGATATACCGATTAGGTTCACTAATTAAGCCGTCTCTGGTAAATTGATTTACGAATGTTATTTGCTGCTTAATTAATCGCTTGGACGGCTATAATACCTCGAATATGAGATTAATATCTGAATGCATGATTACATTGATATTGTGATTATACGAGCACGATCAATGAGAAGCACACAATACGTTCGAGAACTATGAGGGAGGGGCGAAACAGGGAAAGAAAATGTTAAGCCAACATACCCAAATAAATACGCATAGTTTTCATGTAAAACTCATTAATAATACGTCAGATAAATGATAACTTTTTATCCCTGTTGATTTGCAATACATAGACAACATTGAATGGAAGATGTTATCGATAAAGTAAATTAACCAGGATATATAGAACAGTTACGTCGTTCAATATGATTTACATAGAATAATTTTCCATACTGTCGAGCGTGACGGTGTCACTGATCAGTTATTAATTATGCACAGTTATGTAAAAAAAATATAATGCTGATTTGTTAATAAAATTCGATTAATGACCAACAAAATTAGCAGAGCATTAGTCAAAATCTTGTCAAATTAGTAGTTATTACATTGAAATAATTATGTGTCAAACATGATTTCCTGTATTTAGTATTTGAATAATATAATGCCACATCACCAACAGAAGCACATGATGTGATTGTCATAAAAAATTACTCTGACTCCAATATTATATATTGGATATTGATTATTTCAACAACCACATTTTCATATTAATTCTCCAAAATTATTTGTCAAAAAAATAGACGCAATTACATTTGAATTTGCAAATAGCACGCTAAAAGAGCAATTAAATTTGTTTTTTTCATTATGCGTAAAGCAATAATAAAATAAACGATAGAAATTATTAAAATAACGCTGAAAAATTTATTTGTGCATTCAGAATAATTTATTTAAACGTTCTTTCAAGTGCGCAACTTGCAAATAGCGTTAGCTACCTCGAATAATAAGTTTCATGCTATACATGTTAAATATTTAGCGTGTTAAAACATTTCAATACGCACGTGTATTGTATATAAAATACCTACTTGAAAAATTAATTTTTTCCAATAGAAACGCGTCTTGATACGTAAGATGTCAGATAATACTGTGTTTCTTAAATGTTGATCTGTGAAATCATTGCATTCAAAGCTGGAAGCGCGGACATTCATGAATCTGCTACGTCGCGCGACCGTCGGTGTTGCTGATCCGCGTAGTTTTCCGCCTTAAAGATTTATTTGCTCTATAAATGAAATCCAATGTCCCGCGCACCGCAATCGGGATGATTCATGGCGCATCCCTTCGAGTGTCATGCAGTTCATGCAGCGGGAATACAGTTTTCGTGGCTGCGGATAATAGCCCGAACGATACCGACTTCTTCTCCCCTTCTCCCCAACCTCTCTTTGAAGTGCCCGAAGATCGAACTTGGACGGAAATGCGGAGAAACGGAGAATCTATTGGCAACCAGTACCGACGGTGCGCTAACAAACAGCGAAATTTATCGTCTCGTTCCGTAAGAGCGCAGACTTTAGCTGCAGTAGCAGACTTCGATTCTCTTTGCAATGCCGAAATGTATATCGCTGGATTAGCAGAAATTATGATAAATTAATTTAATTAATTTTTAACGTATTTTTTATAGCCGCAGAGCACTTTGAAATATTTCTTTCCGGAGATAGAGTGATATTCGGTAATAGAGCGATCGATATACGCAAAGTAACACGAGTGACAATCAAAAAGCATTTTAACGTATCAAATTTATGTATTTAAATTATTTTTTATTTGTTAATTTATCGAAACAGCTGCGTATATCCAAGCGGAACAATAAAATCATTTGTAACGGAATCGTATTAGTCGTTTGTGTTAGAATCGCGCAATCCGCCGGTAATACGCGCGGATTATAGTTCCCATGATTTCTGATACACACTACATTCCGATGGAAATATCCCGGATACATATCATTTAGTGTATTCATTTTCTCGCTTAAACCCTGAAATTTGCCGTTGCAATAATTTATGCAAATCACAGATTTCGTTTCGCCTACGTAGCTATCGTGCACGTTACTGCTAACGCGACGTTATTGACGCGCGTGGTATATTAATATTAATTTCGCAGCGTTATCCGATGTTACGGTCTATCATGTACATCACATAATTCGCATCGATACGATTGAGTGTGACATCTTGCATCGTCACGCGACTCATCGCTGCGATGAACTCCGTAGCTGCGAGACAAGTGATCGCCGTCAATCGTTGACAGGCCAGCGTCGACCAGTTAGCGCCGACTGTCGATACCTGTCAATCATTATCTTCTACAGTCATGCCCCTTATCCTGCTACTGTCATGTCTTTACACTTGGCACAGAACAATTTTCCAACAAAGGTGCTCGGAAATTATGTTCCCATTCTGTTTACATTCTGATATGTTTAATCGGTTTTCTGCTTCATTTTATTCAACAACTTATTTTTCTATTTCATTCATTTATCGTTATATTTGATTACGAACGATAACGTTAGGACAGCATTCGTGTCATATTTAAAAAGATTTAATATGAGCAAATAAAAATAAGACGTAGATTATGGTTTGAGTAGTATAAATCGTGAATTGATCAGCCAAAGAATTATGAAAAATAATATTATAACAGCATAAAACTTGTGCTGATTAATATGCTTGTTTTAAAATTAAATTTAATTCGAGTTTGCGAAGCTATTAATGAATCAGTTAAATAATTTTAATCTGATGTAACGTACACGATTGTTATCATTATACAATATAATTTTAATTCGCATCAGGCATTGCGTACGACTTCGACATTAAACTACTTTCGTTAATTATTTATTTAATAAGGCTACAGTTGTTAAACCTAGTTTGATAATTATAAATATATTTAATGTAATTTGCAACATGATCAGAAACCATAAAATGTACATTTATTGTGCAAAATAATTATGACAGATATCAATGTGCGTATCCTAAGTATAATTATGGTAACAAATTTAATATTTTAATATCGTTTATTTATTATAAATAACATTAGTCATACAAATGCAAAATAACAGGAGTATTTAATTATTTGTCTCAAATATATATAATTGACTGCAACAACAGATGCGCGCGCACTTACTGAATTGTTCGCAGAAAACACAAGTATAATAACATCCAAGAGATATTATATCTCTTTTTGTGCGAGAGAGTTATTGCCGCACAAAAATTAGTAGAGCATAAAGCTAATTCTGCTATTCTTTTTCAGGACGAATGAAACGGTCAGAGCGTGACTAATGTAACCTCAGATCTCCTCTCTTTCTGCTCAACGATAATCCACGTGGATGTCTGACACGCATACGGAATTTATTTCGTTCTCCCTCGCGGCGGGGAAAAAAAAGTTTTATGACTAATATGCGATAATGTGCCATCCAATACATATATATTTTCCCGGAGCCTGATAGAATTGGAGACCCGTCAATACCAGCCGCCGCAGATGCCGGGCCGCCTCCGCTGTTCCGCCCGGCGCTGCACGGTAGTAAGCGCGCGGCCAAACTTTCCTCCTTAGTTAAAGTATCAATATTTTTAGATGGCGCGCGGCTTTCCCTTATACCTGGGATGTTATTCCTCCGACGGTATTGATTTTCCTCATTTCAACCATTCACCTTATCCCCCCTCCCTCCCCTCCCCCCTTCCCACCCTCCTGGCCATTCGCCTCTAAGCGAATATCTGGAATTTCGCAAAATAGAAATAGCGCTCTCAAAGCTAAACAAAAGTCCCGCAACTTTATATTACGCAATTGAACCTCCTTAGAAGTGCATTTCGTCGTCAGAGGCGGACGTTCCGCAACGCAGCGCGCCATTTACGTTTGCCCATTTACACACGCTGGCGCTCTGAAAGGGATGTTTCCGGCGAATAAACGTGGAAGATTATTATTAGTGATGTTATTATACGCTTCATTATACAGATAACTAGTTTACTACAAGCACGTTATTGTAATCGTACAGTATAAAGGTCTTTATAGTCAGAAGGCTTGCAGTAATTACCACTTTATCTAATGTTAAATTAATTGCAGACATAAACCAACGTAATATTAGCTAATTTTCTAATTTGTTAAAAATAGTTACGAATTAGTATCAGTTTTAGTAAAAGAAATAGTCTCAGTTTAATGCAATCGTGTTATGTGGATTTATGTTTGTAAGCAGCTTGTTAAAGTTATACAAGCGTTAAATATTACAGCTCTACCCGTCTTGAAAAGTTTTACCTACAGACAGTATGAGTGAAGAGGTGAGAAAATTTTTATAAGTTTTTTAGACTAACTTTTCAGGATTAACATTAATTATACTTTGCAGTACTCGACTGTGATTAACAGCTATATGTTGTTGGGGTTTATGTGTACAAATATTTTAAGGAGGATCATAAATAAAAGTCCAAAAAAATTATAGTAGAGACCCAAACTAAAATGTGCATGCATCTATATAAGAAAACAATTTATTTAATGCAATTACATTTTTTAAAAAATATTTTGTAAATTATCTCGCAAAAATATTGTAGTTATAAATTACATTTAACAAAGTGAAAAGGTTCTATAATTTTTTTTAAATGTACTGCTTATTTGCACAGATAAAATAAAGATAATCTATTAACGAATTATATTAACGAATTATATTTCAATGAAGTTTACTTTTTGATTAGCACAAACGTAGTACGAAAGGGATGGTGCAGCGGGGGAGACGGACAGGGCGACGATTTACAGCTTTCGCCGAGCAAAACAGGCCGGGATGAAAGTTCCTTGGCCGCTGGTATGCGCCGGAAGTAAACCAATTAACCGGTTGCAAGTTTCGCGGAAAATCTGAAACTTAACTCCCGCGATGTTCCCCCGATGCTTCTTTCGCCAAATCGTAATCCGGCGTCTTGCCCCGCGCGGCGTTCGCGCAGTGTGGTAGAAGCGAGAATGCTATTTTGTGGGGGCGAGACAGGGAACCGTCGACATTCGGGCGTCGTCGACGGACGTTGTAGAGGACGGCGTCGACGACGACGACAACGACGACGACGACGACGACGACGACGCCGACGACGACGACGACGACGACGATGACGACGACGACGAAGACGACGAAGACGACGACGACGACGACGACGACGACGACAACGACGATGCCGAGGACGATTCGAGTGCCTGCAAACGAATTACGTTGCGCGGCCGAACAAAAACAGCAAATCCGGTAATCTTGTTTCAGACTCGCCGGCAAACTGCTGCGAGTCGTAAGGAAAGCAAACGTTCTACTACTTCTAATTAATTTCTGTTTGCGTGGTAGTGGCTGGATGGAGGAGGACAGCTATCAACGAGGATAGAGGGGAGCGAGAGGGCCGGATAGCTCCGGAAGCGCGGAGACGGCGGGGACGTGGGATTGACATTCACTGAGCACGTTTTTATGGGTCCTCGTTAAGACTTCTAACGTGAATTGCCAGCGAAGTCCGACGCAAGATTCGAGACATGCTGTTTTGATAGTCGTCGTTTTACAACGACTTTGCGACGGCTCCGCGGCAATTACTTATAATACGATTTTATTGCGGTAAGTGATACGTCGGTGCGTCACCAATATAAAAATAAATCTTTCAATTTAATAATTGCTCAAACGTAAGTAATATCATCAGAGG